TCAGCCTCCCGTGGTCCTGCAGGGAGTCCCCCTCAGCCTGGGCCTGGCCACCACCCCCCAACGACCGGCCTGCGCCCGCACCTGTGTACTCCTCCGGGTGCGTGCGGTTCCCGTTGCGGAAGAACTTGAGCGTAGGGTACTCCGTCACACCAAACTCCTCAGCCAGCTCGGGCTGCGCAGGCCCGTCCACCTTGGACAGCGTGACCGCCGTTGACTCGGCCGCGAGCAGGGCAGCTGCCTTGCTGTACTCGGGGGCCAGGGCCTTGCAGTGCCCACACCACGGGGCATCTGGGGGACGGGGCCATGAGTGCCCCAGGCCACCACAACCCCAGGAGCACCCTCTCCACACCTGACAACCCAGCAGGGAACAAGTGTGCTCCTCCATTCTGCCCTGAGCCCTGGCCATGGCCAAGCTGAGCGCCAGCGCCTCTTTGTGGACCCCCAGGCTGCGGCGCAGGGACCAACAAGGCTTGGGAGGGCTTGAAAGACCGCCCCTCCCTACAGCCGCGCCTGTAATCCCAGCACTTTTGGAGGCAGAGGCGGGTGGATCACCTGAGGTTGGGAGTTAGAGACCAGCCTGGCCAACCTGGAGAAAACCCCTCTCTACTAAAAATACAAAAAACAATTAGCCAGGATTGGTTGCGTATGCCTGTAATCCCAGCTACTCGGGAGGCTGAGGCAGGAGAATCGCTTGAACCTGGGAGGCGGAGGTTGCAGTGAGCCAAGATTGTGCCATTGCACTGCAGCCTGGGCAACAAGAGCAGAACTCCGTCTCTAAAAAGGAAAAGACCCCTCCCTTTCCTGCCCTGTAAGGCTGGGGCTCCCAGGCCCATGTGGCTGCCTGTGAAGACCTCCCAGGCAACGACGGTTCCTATCTGTGTCAAGGGTTGTAGAAAGACCACAGAGCACGTGCATCGGGGACCTCTGTGGGCCCCCAAAGCCCGAACACTGCCTGGGCCTCCGCAGAGTCTGTGGGATGCCCTGGCAGCTGGAGGAGTGGCTGGCAAGGCGGCGACTCAGGCACCACGGCCGCTGGCTGACCAGGGAGGCACAGGTGCTCTCATGTCCTGTGGGTACCCCCAGTACTACCACTGCTCCTGCCTGCCCCAACCGGACCCCGAGGACCCTCCTAGAGAGCTCCTGGGCACAGTGGGGGCAAGTGCCTCAGGGGAGGCCTCTCTCGGGCACATGCCCTGCATTTGCTGGCAAAGGGTGGGGCCCCCAGGTGGGCCCCGCTAGTCTCCGCCGGTCCCCAGCTCCACTGGCCCCAGCACTCACAGAACTCCACCAGCAGGGCAGGGTGCTCCCGCAGGGCCAGGCCCAGCGTGTGGCGGCTCAGCACCAAGATCCCATCCTCCTTGGGGATTTCCTCCTCTGGAGGCTCCTCTGAGGGGCTCTTGGGTCCCTGCTCCTGACCCCAGGGGCACGAAGCCCTGAGCAGCAGGAGCAGTACAGGCAGAAGCTGGCGGCTCATGGTGCTGCCAGGGCCCGTGGGGCAGGGGCAGATAAGGGGGCCAGAAGCCAAGCAGCAGCTGCCACGTGGCACACAGGCCTGGTTCCAGCAAAGATAAGGCCCGTGCGGCCCCCCCAGCCCCCAGGGGAGGGGAGGCAGAAAGAGACAACACGCAGGGCACCGAGACAGGGCCACGTTTAATGGGACAGCTCAGGGGATAGCGCCAGGCCCAGGGGGTCCCGGGACAGAGCAGGGGCAGCAGGGGAGGGTCTGGTCACTCACGGGGGGTGCTGGGGATGCTTGGGAGTCCCTGTGCAGCAGCTGAGGGAGGTGGGGGAGACAAGGACTGGGGGTTCAGTCCTTCCAGTCCTGGCAGATGCGGAGACCCCACTCCCAGGACAGGTGGTGCGTCCTGTCATCGTCGGTGAAGAGGGACACGACCAGGTAGGGGCCCCGCACCAGTGCACCCCTCGGCGCTTCCTCCACCGGAGTCACAAACTCATACTCCTGGGCGCTTGGGCCGTAGCTGCCCACCATGTAGACGGTCTTGTCCACTAGGGAGGGCGAGGGCATCAGGGCTGTCCTCTGTCCGCCCCCCACTTCTCCCCCCCCGCCCTGTTCCCCCCCCACCCGCTGCCCTCACCGCGCAGGCCCCGGCGGTAGGTGTGGTGCAGACACTTGAGGCCGCTGACAATCTCCCTGTGGACCTGGGAAAAGAGGCATTAGGAGTTCCCTCTGGGGACCAGGCCTCTGGTTGCTGCCCCCATCCCCAACCCCTCTGCCCACTGCCCTGTCTCTCACCTTGAAGGTGATCTTCACTCTGTAATCAACACCTTCCTTCAGGACAAACACCTGGTCCTTCAGAACAGCCAGGTCCCCTATTGGGGAAACTGCAGCTAGGGTCGGAACTCCCTACAGGCTGAGACCTGCTCCAGGAGCCCCCACGTGGGGTGTGGTGCCCATGAGGTCTGCGATTGTCATGGCCCAGGGCGTGGAACTCAAGGGTGCAGGAGTGTGCCTGGGAGGGCCCTACCTGCATTCAGGGGGCAGCACCCTGCGAGTTACCTGTGAGATCCATGACGACGGGCACTGGAGCCTGCTCCGACAGGAGTGTTAGCCTGGTCACCTGCACATTGGGCAGGCTTGGGTCTGAGGAGAAACTGGAAGTCTGCAGGATGCCCCCCCTCACCCCCGCTGGGCTTCCCACCAGCACCCCCAGACCCAGCCCTCCAAGCCCAGGCCCCTGCCATACCCACGGCCGGTGGCAGGGGCCCCAGCAGCGCCCGCTTGTACTCGGCCAGGCTCCTGTCGTCCGGGTCCAGCTGCCGGATCTCCAAGAGGCTCTTCCTCCCTGGCGCCCGGTACTCGGGCACAGCCTCATCCAGCACCTCGTCCACTGCTGGTGGCCCACCCTCCTTGTCAGCCAGGAGGACTGGGGATGGGGAGGGGCATGAGCAGTGGCCACTAGCAGACCCTGGCATTCCAGCACCAGGCTGGAGCCCCCTCTGGCCAGCTGTACCTCCCACTACCCAAAGGGACTCAAGGGGAAGCCTCTGGGAGAGGGCAGGCGGCCTGGGGAGGTGCCACACCGCACCCAGACCTTCAGGAGGGGCCTCCAGAAACCACCAAGCCTGCAGCTCCTCTGGCCCAGATGTCCACAAAGGCCCCCTTGCCTGACTCGAAGACCAAAGGGTGGGGGAGTAAGACTTCAAATGAGGGCAGCCAGGGCCAGGGACTACCTGCTTGAGAGCAGCGGCCCTCAGCAGCCCCCGCCCCTAGTAGCTCCGGGGCCCTCTACCATCCTGCTCTGGGCCGGGGTCTCTGAACACTTTCCCACAGTCTAGGAGTTCCTCCCCATGGTGCTGGGGGGCTGGGAGCCGCTCTCTCCAAATCCCTGGGCTCAGGCTCTGCGCCGCCTTCCATGGTGCCCCGGGCTGGTGGTCTCCTGAAGCCCTTCTCCCTGGTGCCCTGGGCAGGGGTTTCTGAGTCCCTGCCCACTTCGCTCCAGTCTTCTCGGGAATCACCACACGCCCTACGGAGCCTGAGCCCGAGCCCCAGCCTCAGCCCCACCCAGGGGACAGGGGCTCCAGGCGGCGATGCCCAGGGGGAGAGGGTCCCAGCCCCGCGGCTTCACAAGCGGACCGGTCAGCACCTGGCTCCCTTCCCCACAGGGGTGGAGCCTGGATGAAGTCCCCCACCCCTGCCAGACCCCGGCCGGGGGTCTGCGCCGCGAGATCCCCACGCGCGCCCCCAAAGTTGCCG